ACCCTCTGGGAATCCAACGATTTATGGTTTAGGGTTTAGGGTTTAGGCTGGGGTTTGAGGTTTGGGTTTTAGGGTTTCGGGGTTAAGGTTGAGGGCTTGTGGGATCCCACAGTAATCCGTTCATCATCCTCAGAAAGAATAGTTGTAACCCTTATACGCCGTTCCTTCATTTCCCTCTACCTATCCGTAAGCTTTTTGGGATAGAAGGAAACCCACTTGCATTGCATCCCCGAGGGTGGCCTAAACGTTAAATCCCAAACCCTAAAACCTGAACCACAAGCCCTAAACCCTAAAGCAAAACCCTACACCCTAGCAAAAGCCCAGGTGCTACCAGCCAAGTCCACAATGAACATTGACGAGATTATCTCCTGACCTGAACCAGGGTTTGGGTTTCGGAACGCTGTACCTGGTGCAGCGTTGGCCACCCCCCCAATCAACCCCCACCCTGTGGTCATGGTTTTACTAACCCCCCCCCTTCTGGGTCGGGTGACTTTCATTAAAGTGTTGGAAGGTTTATAGCGTTTGGGAGTGCTCAAAACATGTTACCCCACCTTCCCCCCTTGTGGCCCTGTGCCCTGTGGTCTTGGTCTGGTGGCTTAAATTAAGGTTTTTAGAAAGGTTGTGGTGCTTGTAGTGGCCTGTGGTCTGGATTTGGTGGTTTGAATTACGGCTCTAAGAAATTCGTAGCGTTTGTAGGGTGCTTATAATTTATTACCCCACCCCATCCCTTGGTGGTCCTGTGGCCTGCGGTCTGGGACGTGGATCGTCTTGTGGTTTGCATTAGCTTTATGCAAGGTTTATTTAGCTGATCCCTGTGATTGTGAGTACTGTTAATATGCTACAACGGTACCAAGTCTCAAAAGAAACGACCGTTGCAAATCGCGATGAAGACCATTCCGATCCCTGTGATTGCTGGCACTTGTGAGACCTGGCTAAAGTACGAGGGGCTAAAAGTGACGACGGTTACGACAATGGCACCGCTGAGGCGCCAAAAACGACGACAGTTCCCATCCTTGTGACGGTCGACACTTTTGCAGCATAGGGGGTTCGGGGGGTCAAGGGGTACCCATGGGGGTGTGGGGGGGGCAGTACTCCGAGTACTGACGCAGCGACGCGGCACCATATATGAGGGCTGTATGGGGGCTACGTAAAAGTTGTATGTTGGAGTTACGTAACCTTATATGGGGAGGCTACCCCGAGAAATAGAGAATCAAACAGAATTTGAAATGGAAACTGGCAAGGTGCCTTACTGGTGGCACCTCTAATGAGTGCAGCATTGGCCATCTGCTACATATATAACCCCCATAACCTGGCCAAAGACAACTACGAGCAACCTTATTCAAGACTATTTGGGCCCCTAACCTCAAATCTGTTTTTCGAAAAACCCCAAGCCACAAAAAGGCCAAATGATGTTCTAGCTAGAAACCAAAATATGGCAGTTCCGCTAAATGAAGGACACAAATATAAGCCCCGAAATACTATGGTCATAGGGACCCCCAAACAATTACCCGTAACTTATGGAAAACCAGAATACAAAAGCAAAAAACAAAAAACGCTTTAGCTGCTAAAGCTCTCCTGTTTGATAAGAAAGCCTTGAAACCCCAAACCCTACACTGTGAAACCTTCCGAAAGCCCTGAACCCTAAACCTCAAGCCCTAAAACCCAAAAAAAATCCTAGAATCCTAAATCGTAGAACCCTGTAAACCAAAAAAAAAACTGGCTCAAAGCCCTGCCGGGTGGCCTGCATCCTTCAATCGCAACATTAGGATGGCGTGGCTCCGGCTTGAGACTTCGTTCATGTCCTGGGCCCCCACCCTAAACCCTAAACCCCAACCTAAGGTTTATGGCTTGGGGGCTCCCAGCAATAGGTGTGCTTCTTTTTTGGGGGTCGCTGAAGTAAGGATCACAATATTTGTGGGTCTATACTTGGGTCGCTTTATTTGAGGAAACTACCATTCAGGGATTGCATTTCCTTTTTTCTGGAATTTTTGGTTCAAGCTTAGAGCATACGGTCCATAGAGCTTCGGGTTTGTGGGTCTTTTGGCTTTTGGGTTTTTGGTTTGGCCACTAGCATGTCTTCAAGGTTCAAATGCTCCATAAAGAGTTCAGGGCTCCTGGTTCTGGAGCTCAGGGTATGGGATATTGTCGGTCCCTGGGCATTTTGTTTTTTACTGATAAATACTACAGAATGATGGTAAATTAGTGAAACTTCGCAGCTCGGGAAACAAGGAATGGATTCCCGCACGAAACCCTGAAGACTGCACCATAATCCGAAAACATTTCCATGCATGGGCTCTGCAGACCCCGCCACCCCCTGAAGCCCTCAAAGTACCCCCTATATCCCGGGTACCCTAGTCCCTACTAACCACTAGTAGGCCTGGGCTCCCAAAAGTTCAGCTAAAAGATACTTACCTTACATCAGACTAGAGATTAGGGTATCAGGTACGGGGACTGCAAAAAAAATCCCACGAAGTCCCTTCGATAGGGGAATAGATTTATGCAAGAACTATGGGACCAAACCCCGGGTTTGGAAGCAAGGCTTCCAGAATTTGAACTCAGATTTAGACTTTTAGCCCGTAAAATGTCAAGGAGGTATGTACAAGGAGGTATGTACAAATCATCCATACAAGGGCCTTATGATTGGGACCCCCAGAACGGTAACCCTCATGTAGGGAGACATGAACACTGATCACCAAGCCCTATTTAACGCATATAAACCCAAGAACCCAAAAAAAAAAAAAAAAAAACTGATACCTTAATTATTATACCTATCTCGCTTCAATCATCATGCAAGGATCACACAGCTTTTTGGGGGTTAGCACTTTAGGGCCGGGCTTTCCCCAATGTAGGGATCCTTTCAAAGGGATCCTGGGTATAGGGTTTAGGGTTGTGTAATGTTTAGGGCTTAGGGTTGGGGTTTAGGTTCCGGGCTCAGGGTTCTAGTTTTAGGGTTTAAGGCTTTGCCACTTGCATGGCCGAACGAGGTGACATATCACGCAGAAAGGATGCTGACTGGAACCATGGCACCCCATCAACCCCTAGATGAAAAATCCCTCATAGGCAGCATCCCCAAGCCAGGCGAGGCAGCATATCACATCGAGGGGACGCTGACTGGAAGCACAATCCCCGAAATACATAAGGGTCCTTGTTTGGGGGCCCCCATACACAAAAGTAAAAATTTGTGCGGTCAATATTGGGACCCTGTTGTTTATGGAGACTACCATGTGTTCTTGCAGGAACCTCCTGTCGGAATGTCCCTGCAAATCTCCCAGCGCATGCCCTCAATTTCCTCAATGATATGCAAACCTGTCAAGTGCATTAAAGCAATCAGTTGCAATCGATACCGGAACTTAAGGAACACCACTGTCCTGCGCTCGTGTTGCACGGTGCGCCGCCCCCTTTTCCAGCGCCCCCAAAATATCGGCCGAAGACGTGGCTTTTCCTGCTTAAGCAACCGGTTTCATATTAGAATTTCTGTAAACGGGGGATACTTTGAGGCTCACATTTTCGGGGTCCAGACTGGCGTCCCATTTTATGAAACTATCACATCGGCACTTCTCGAAGGAGTGGAGTGGAATGGAGAATTCACTAAGGCAGTAGCCTGGCCCGAAGGCTTAAGGTGCCAGTCCGAGCCAACACATACAACAGCAACCAACATTAGCAACAACGGACGCGACGAACAAACGAGCCCCATCCACGAATCGTGGGAATGCCACCGCGAGTGCTGCCATGAAGAACATGACCGCGAACCATGGGGATGCCACCGCAGGAAAAAAAGACGCCGCCACAAAGAGGTTGACCGCGAACCGTGGGGATGCCACCGCGGTAAAACAGGTGCCGCCACGAAGTGGTTGACTGCGAACCGTGGGATTCAGCGCCGGCAAACGGCACCCCAACAGAACACGCTGCAAAAGATCTCCAGGCAAACATAACAACAAACATCCAGATTCCAGCCCAGGAGGTATTCCGCTCGGGCGCTCTACAAGTTTTCTGTGCATCGGGTAGATCCACTTGTTGTCGCCAAGCGCTCCGGGGCTTCGAATGGAAATACACTCAAAACGAGCCAGAGCCAAAGGCTGCAATACTTGCGGTGGGTTTTCAAGCTTCGTTGGAGAGCCCCGCAGAACCAGAAGCCAGATGAGAAATGAAGCAACGGAAGTTCTACCAAAAGCGCGAATATTTCATGTCAGGAGGGGCCGAAATACAGCACAAATGAATTGTATCGCAGGTTTGTCAAACGGCACGGGAGCTGCGCCATGGCTTGTCACAGCGCTCTAATACCGTGTTCAAGGCAGGGGACCCAAGGCTTGTTATTACAAGCCAATTAAGGCCCGAGCCCGTTCAAAAGCAACACACCGCAGTCCAAAGCCATGAGCCGAGAAGTTTCCCAGAAACCCTGTAATGGTGCCAATATCTATCGATATTCCCTTCTTCACTTCCCTTCAAGCTGCAACAAGTCCATGGACGAAACACAGTATAGGCGCTGATCTTCCAAACTTTTGCCCTGCAATAAACTCTGCTGAGAACCTCTACCGATACCTACCTCCCAAGGTGCCCCATTTAAAGCCTACACGGCCCGAACCCGAAACTTTGTCCTTGCTCCAAGGATTCATTGGTAGCTATGTACAATAACACTTTACTCCGAAACCACAAAATGTCCCTCAACTTGAGCCCAGTAGCGGCTGGATAGGCCTGATAGTTCCACGCCTGCCTTTCCTTCCACAAGCTTCCCCAAGCTGGTAGAGCCGGCAACCAACAAGTCTTTAAAGTCCTGGCGACTTTTTGAACACATGACGTGCATTGTAAGCCTACAGAATGGGAATAGGTCGGTCTTTGTGGCTTTGAGCATGATGTCACCCCCCTAGAACTTCAAATGGCTTCCTGAGTGAAAATGTGGTTGAAGACCATTTATCTGACTATCCCTGAATTTCGAATGCTGTTGCTGTTTCGTTGGTGCTCTTGGCAGCCATTTGTTGACACCCCAAATAAAAGCTTGCTGGTTACAACCATGGTTCGTCCAGGTACAACTGCACATACTCGTAATGCAACTCTCTGTCGGCCGGCAACCCAAGGAAAATATCCATCAAACATCGGCTTGTGATGCCCGGATCATCTGTTGGGCCAGCAATCGTGTATGTCTTCCCGGATCCTGTTTGCCCATATGCGAAAATCGTCACGTTTGTTCCAGACAAAAAATCTTGTACATAAGGCTGCGCGGTCGCATGGTAGATCGCCGCTTGGCTCGTTGACTCTTGAAAAACCCTATTGAACACATAGTTGCCCTTCATGGCGGAATCAGTGGCTTGTACCACAATACGCTGTGGGGGCGGATCTCGGGGGAAGTCTGTGTCAGAGACAACCAAGCAGTTCTCTGACCCGGCCTTGCGTTCTCGCTCCAACAGCGGCCTAATCCGAACAAAAACAGAAAACGTGTCATTGATCTCTCCCATCTCTATGGCTGTCATTTCTGGGCCCAACAATAACTCCTTGGCCTTGGAAACTACTCGTGGAGGCGCCAGAACGTACTCCAAAACCTCCGCAAAACATTCAGCTGTGGCGGTGAAAATCAAAGCGCGGCCAGACTGTGTCAGAGCTGATTTTTCCAGGCTGCCTCTCCACCAGCATCCGTCCCGCATGGACTTGAAAGGTGTCGGGCCATTGGCACCCGTGACTTTCCATAGAACAAATGTGCCCAGCAGACCCATGGCACTTGGGTCCATGAGCATTTGCGTGATCTGATTAAGACCGGCCAGTAGCCAAGGCGGTTGCTCAGGATAAAACTTCTCACAACCACATAAAAGTACTCCGGCCCCTCTTGCTTCAAGATTCTCTTGGAGGCCTTGCGGGATGTCCCCGATTTGCACGTTCACCAGCACATGGTGCGAGGCAAAAAGGGTAGGGTCTTGAGCGTAAGCACGTAGAAACGCGCAAGCACCAATGCCTTCTGCAAAAACAGAAACACTTGCCTCGGCCACCTGGGGAAGGGTTCCAGTAGCATTCAACAACACTAAACTTCAACATTGGCACCCCACCAAGGAAAGCAGACAAAAAGAAGGGGGGGGGCTTTTGGGTTGAAGCCTACCGAAGAAAAAGCCCGAAACCCTACAATCCTTCAACCCTTAAACCCCGAAAACAAGAACCCCACATGCTATCATATGTTTCAATTAAATGAACGGCACGAAACACCGGGCCCCTAAACCGCGGAAACCCCTCCCGCCGTAGTCCCTGCTCACCTGCAGGCACGCCAGCAGCTTCAGTAGCAGCTCCCCATCGAATTCGGACCAAACCCGTGTCACACCGGGCTTTCCACTGGCTCGCCCAAAGCCCGGCCAGTCCTGGGTTCTTGGCGAACCGCGGAAAATGGACACAGCAACTTCATTTTTTTTTCGGACAATTTTTTTCTCAAGGCTCGTGGAACGAAGGACAATAGATTTATAGTCCAACTCGTGTGCTTGTTTTTTCCTTCGGACCTTCTCCAAGCAGCTGTTCACCTAAGGTTGCTACCCTACGCTCCTCAGAGCGCCTTGCAGACATGACGCCATCCCTGTTCCTACCAACTTGCACAATCTCATGGCGGTAAAGCACAGCTTCAAAGTTTCAAACGCAAACCTAGCATCCAAAGCCACCACGTGAAAGCCTTTGCTCAACATAGGCATCCAAAAGTGGCTCCACAACGCCATGCAACGGTCCTCCCCGTAACCATGAAGGCAAAGAGCCACACGATTTCCTTCACTTGTGGCGGGAATGTGTCGAAGAGGAATCTTGTGTTCGGCAGACCCACTTGTGGCGTGCACCATATAGCCAACCATGCTGGACAAACAGCTTCTCTCCTCTTCAGAAAAGATGGGCCCTTTCCAGCTTGAAATATCTGCATCATCCAGCTCTTGTGGTGAAATTGACATCTGGCCGGCAGATGAGGGGGGAGGTGCGTCCGCAACTTCTGAAGAGGCACCAGAACCCATGGCTGAAAGCTGAAAATTAGCTGCACCAACCTTTTGCCACAAGCAAAGAATTTCAAATTCGCTGCAATGGTTGCCGCAGACTAACAGTCAGCAGAAACAACCCAAGCTGTTTTTCTTCTGCATCCCAGCTACTTCGTGATTTCTGAATCGCCTCCATGCACCCTCAGTAACTCTTAGCAGGGCTTGGCCAAGTACAAACAAATCTTGGAGCATCCCCAGCTTGCAACGTGCGCACATCCGCGAAACGCGCTTGCTCAGCTGGCGCACTTGTCTTGATGCGGCAACACGTGTATCTTTTTTCCCAACGTCTGATAATCCGCACACACACAGTGGCATGTCCATTGGAACCATCGGACCTGTGCAAGCGCAAAGCCTCACGAATTTCTCGCGCCCTTTGCAAAACAGACAGCTGCCACGGCTGCCGTTCCCACAGCCAAGGCGAAACAAACCATCATGGAGTTTGGGCCGGCACTTTGGCCCACATGAACAGTGTTTTTCCTAAACCATGCGGCTTTCTTGACATATTTCGCCGCGTGCTCGCGCTGTACTCGCAACCTATCGTTCTCTTTGTACGTCTTCTTCACCTGCCAAGGCATGCAGGCTGCTGAGGGCGGCTTTGGGGATTCAGGTTTTCTTGTTTTCGGGCTTGTGGGTTTCAAAATGTTCTCTTTGCCACATTTTACCCTTAGCCCTGTGGGATTTGAAGTTTTTTGGCTGCAATAGCTTTGTGGGGGTTAGCGATTTACACGCGTGTTTTTAGGTTCCGTGTGTTTGGTGGTTTGCGGTTTTACGGTCCTAGCCGTGGCGGTTTTCAGCGGCGCACTCTAGATGGAAGTTCTTCGTGTTTCAGGTGTGTGGTTACGGGCGCAACGGGTTCAAAATTTGGGGGCACTGTAGTGCACTAGGAGCCTCGGAGGATCTTGGAGGTTGTCAAGCCAAGCATTCGTGCTGCGCACCATGTTGAGACCCGACCGCCCATGTCCAGCAACGAGCGTACCGCACGCCCTGCGGTCATTCGCAAAGCTGTGCTGTGCTTGCGGATTTCACTGCAATTTTGTTGGCGCGCTTCGCATTTTGGCGCCTCAATAGTCATAGTACGTGTTTTTTCGCGCACGTTTTTGCACTTGTTTCGTGAGGTCCAAGTCGGGGGCAGGGCAGCTAAGCAAACGGAGGCGGCCCATTACAGGCGGCTACCGTGCTCGCGAGGAAGGCGACTGGCCATGACAGGGAATTCCTAGCGGGCGTCAGTCAACAGTGCCGGGAGCGTCAGCGCGGAATCATCCCTGTTCACCTCCCCTGCAAACAAGAGTTCGAATTCGAATGTAATTCGTCGCGCTGCGCCGCGACTGATAAAAGGGCTGCCCAACATGCGACCCAAGCAGACTGGGCAGCAGGCCGGACTCGGCTCCGAAACGATCAAGAGTCGAGTCGAATCCTGATCGCCCGAAGGCGTCCCCTTTAGGCAAGTATTAGCTTACAAAAACTACATCCATCAGGCTCTTTGCCCGATGATAAACTGGCAAAACTCATCGCGCGGCTGATTCCAAAGTCTGTTGTCTAAACTTGCTGTTTCCCAGCTGTCCCATCGTTTCCAGCGAGCAAATGTCCCGAGACAAGATGCCCACATATTGCG